GCAGGGGAGGAGAATTGGTAGAAGTAGATCGCGGAGTTGGGCGTGACCTACGAGGATAGGCAAGGGGTGAGTACTTGCAGTACAATATAGATGCGAATTGTCTGGTTCTCTTTGCTACTTGCCTCGCGAGCGAAGGAATGAGGAGCAGCGCAATAGCACGACTGCTACGCATCACTGCTACGCATCACTGCGCGTCTCGAAGGGGGCAGCGCGCGCGAGCAATTGGCAGCTATTGCAAATCGTACAAGAGACTTGCTGCCCAACGAACTGGGTACGAACTGCAATCCGGACCACGGGGGATGTAAGAGTCAAGGGGAGATACTAACGTCAGGGCAATCGAAGGTGTGGCTCGTCGTAGATGTATCGGTACCGTCAAGAGTTGCAATGGCTATGTTGCGCGTTAGCGCCATCGTGGAGGACGGCGAAGGGAGGTGACTTACTGGTGATGTGGTTCATCTGCAAGTTGCTGCCGGACATGAGCTCAACGTTCATCTCCTTCCATACGCCGGTGGTATCTGGGGTCCAGGTGAAGGAGCACTGGCCGCCGACCTTGAATACGTCGCCAGGGCCGGGGGCGGTGGGGACGGGGTCGGCGCGCACAAGGGCAGAGCCAGCAATGAGAGCGGCGAGACCAGCGTATGCGAACATCGTGAGGTGTGTTTAGAGTGTAGAGTTTTGAAAGCGGGATGGGGAGCTGTATGTTAGACTGAGGGAAGACGAGTATCAGCAACGACGCGAGCTGGCTGGATGGAAGGAGACGCACTGCTGGGAAGCTGCTGCTGCTAACCGAGCCAAGCAAAAGAGCGACTTGGGAAATGAGAGGCAGGGGCAGAAACCAAAGCGGCTGCAGAGCGTTCGTCAACGGAGACGAGGGAGACGAGGAGGAGGACGGGGAGTGAGTAAAGGCCACCGCAGGCCGTCTCCTCGCTTGTCCCTGGCATCCAGCGCTTCCTGTCATCCCGCGTGGAGGCTGGGCCTATTTTTATTTGAACCACTCCGACTTGTGAACCTTTGAACGCTGAACTTCCCCTCGTTAATGTTGTACATGTGCCAGGTTTTTCTCAAGTTCCGATCTGCTTCGACGGTGGCCTGTGCATCACCACCGTGTGCGGGCCCAATCTCGAGATTGTGAGCTCCTTCTCTGAGTATGAGCAGCTCTACGCGGCGTTCTGCTTCCGGGTGGACTGGAGCGGCATACTTTTTGTTTGCCAACAACGCCATCTCCGTCACTCTCACTGCCGCGAATCTGGAGTTTTTGCATGTTTCCACTCGGACCCGGTAAGCAGCTCCTTTTCTGATGCACTTGTTGCTCATATGTGAATCGTGCACAGCGTGGTGCACCATAACGGCGAGCTCATGCGTAGTGTTTGCAGCTGTTCCTTGTTTATGAAACCTACGACTCCTGCGTTAGGAGCGTTGCAGATGGTTCCCTGGGCCGGTAAGCCGTGACTCTCCGCGTGGCCGCTTCTATGCTTGCTATCCGTTTAGTCCCAATTTGACATCATCAACCGTTTCGGACCCTGGACGTAGCACGTCCTGCCCGCACTGTACTCGGACGACCATCTCAGTAGTGCGCCATCTCTGGCAACCGCGAGGTAAGTATCACCTCATCTCATGTCGGCCTGAAACTCTTCTTGATCTGATGCATATTGACCTCAACGTTAGTATCAGTACGAATATCCTCTGCCCAGCGCCCTCTCGTATGCACGCTCTTTTCGGTAGTCGCAACGATACAGTCCCCGACGTGATAGTGTGGGCCTGTGCTCTGCAATGATGGCAGTCAGCGCCGTAGTCTCACCTTGTCAAGTCTGGCGATCAATAGCTTCAGCAGAGCGTCTTCACCATTATCCACACATCGGTATGTGTTTCATCTTGATACCGTGGATGGTGCCATCCTTTCTACTCGCCTTCACAACCAACCCCTAAGATGGCTCGAACGGTAGACGTTGCCCTTCACCCGGTCCTTCGTGGCAGTCGCCGTCGACGTCGATCTGTATATCTCGCGCAACTCCCGGGCGTAACGCATGTGCCGGGACGTGTCCCTACTCACAGTCGGTATGTCCTTTCGTTCATCACTGCGTATATGTGAAAGAGGGTGAACACGCCGCTGAATAGTGCGTCCTGTAGGCGTCACTGCATGGACGTGTCTATTCTTCAGATACGCCGGGCATTGGTTTCAAAAATGTCCCTGCCCCCAAGTTTGGGTGTTCGCAAGTAAGTGACGTCAACAGTGTCCGTCCTCACATCAACACTAAGATCGGTCTTCGTTGATTTCGTCCAGGAGATCGTACCTTGCGTCTGGATTTCGGTACTGAAATGCCCGGCACGGTTGTCGTATCTGGCCTTTGTCGGCTCATATGCAGTTGTGGACTACTTCTGATAGATCTGTAACTCTCGACAGTTGCACTGAACGCAATCTCACCGCTCGGACTCAAGAATCATGCTTCGCGTCCATCAGAACATGGCTATTTCTATAGGTACGAGCGCGCCGAGTCGGAGCCCGCATCATACAGAGTCTTAGAGCTCTTGCCACCGCTGCCCGTCAGGCATCACCTGCTAAATCAAATAAGTCCGCAGGAAAGTGGTATGAATTGGTACCAAAGATTTGCCACACTACCGGTGTTCGATTTTCGTCTCAACCCCGTGTTAAGCCCAACGACTTCCAGATTCATGAGAGCGCGATATCGGAAGGCTCAACCAGCATCTGAATTACTCGACGACCATCCAGGAAGCACTACCCCATGTGCTGACCGCATCGAGTCTGCCCTCGAGTATAAGAGTCGCCACACCAATTGAAGGCCGTCAATGCTCAGCTCTCAGCCCCACTCAGAAAACCCAACGTTGACATTAGATTCGCGCTATTCAAGCACATGCCCTCCAACGCTGATGCCGCTGCCCTTGCAGCAATTTATTCTGCCTTGTACGTCACCCCTCGCTGGAACGTCAATGAAGTCTGGACGGAGTCCTTTGCTGACACCGCTACACAGGTATACCGAATCTTACTGCAACGTGGCAGCTTCAGGTATGTATAGTTCAGTACAATATCATTCTATCAATCTCACGGACTTTCCGAATCGCTCTCAACTGCAGTCCTCTTCATGTACGATTCTATCGTCACGTCCACTCGAGAAGTGGCATGTTTCCGGACCGCCAAGTGGTCCGGAGCGAAAGTCTTGTTTCTTGCAAACAAGGGCATCTCTGTGATTTTCTTCGTCATGAATTTTGTGATCTACGCGTCTTTCCCCTCGGACAAGGTGAGCAACTCCTCTTCCGATGCATTCATTGCCAAATCTGATGTGTGAGTTATAGAGGTTTGTACCCAACTTCTGTGTAGACATGCTCCTGCTCAGTGTTTGCAGCTGCTCCTTGTTCAGGAAGATTTTTACTGTGATTCCTGCGTTGCAGATGATCCCCTGGGCCGGTAAGCTTCCTATCATGTCGCAGAATATAGTTTCTTATGATCGCTGCGAGAAGTCTACTCCGGCCTCCGCGCACGTGCTTTGAATGGCAAGTACTTTGGACTTCTCGTCTTCGCCTTGTCTGTTGCACCTGTAGGTATAAATCTGGTGAGTGTTGTGATTTTTATCGCCTTGTCACATGGTGGATACAGACCACATCGCCTTGTTTCGCAGGTTCAATACAAGTATGATGTCTCCGGGGAGAACTTCCCGCCTTTTGGGTGCCTGTTTACAGGGAACGTAACTACTTCTATCGGCCTGAGGTGGGTTTTATTGTGATATACTATCAATAGTCAAGTGCTCAGACTGCAGAAGGCGTAGGTTATCCCTCAACGAAACGCCAGTAAAGATGCTTACCCAACAACCATAGTTGTCATCGCCTCTCGAGTACCGCTCATGATTGCGGATATGTCGATCATCTATATCACCTGGACAAAATTAAGCAGTAAAGATGTCTTCAACTTGAAGAGGGGAATGTGGCAGTCACAGAGACCATCCCTACCATACGTCTTGATCCGCGATGGTATGTCCTCACACAGATGTCGTAGACCGTCTGAACGGCTTACCTTTCTGTCTCCCTATAGGTACGGTATATTTCATGTAAGTTTGTCCCATGGTAATCCCACAAAACCAAAGATCGCATTCATCATCCATCGTTAGAGTCTTGTTCACCCTGAACATGCTCCACCTAATCTTCATTGCTCTCTCGGTAAGCCACGGCAGACAAAATCCCCTGCTACTATATCAATTATCTCTGATTCTCGGCTCCCCAGGTGGCACTCGATGGCAATAATACAACTTATGTCACAACCTTCACAAGCCCGTATGTCGGTGTATGGCTATTGCAATTTGCGTGGGCTCACTCAATCGTATCCATGGCAGCCTTACCGCAATTCTCGTGTCGCGCTTCCTCCTCCAACTCCAAGAAGCAAGCCTGGTCACTGTCAGAGTCGACTCCGACGACCCGCTGCACATGTCACTGAACGGCTCCGAGGACATGCCCAGCTTCGTCCGGTCTCTCGGAGGCGTCATAGATCCAGACCTCCCGCGCGATGACTTCGACGATCCTGAACCGGATCTGCAATCACACTCCGAGTTTGGGGAGGAGCGAGAGCAGACCTCGCCGGCTGCGGAGCCGTCGTCCCAGGCTTAAACCGTCAACTCCGTCCGGTTCCCCTCCTTGCACTATGAGTTCAGCATGCTCCTCTATGTACTGTGTAGATCACCATCTCAGTTTTGCATCTCTTGGATTTGACTGCCTTTCTTGATTGTGACTACGGTTGTAACGAGTGATAGATACCATTGAGAGCTTTCTTGTACTGTACCGTAGATATCTTAACCCGCAAGCAAGCACGACCTTCGACGAGTCCATGAGCGTGCCGATGCCCCAGAGAATGTCCTTCTGCCTGGTGTTCGCGGGCGGGGCCGTTGTCTCGTTCATCGTGGCAATCGCACAGCGGCCTGTCCGGCTGGGTGAAGTATTGTTGGTAGTACGCAGATTTGGTTCGTTGCGTCTTGGTAGAGGAACAAGAAAGAAAAAGATGACAACAGTGGGATTCGAACCCACGCCCTTTCGGACCAGATTAGTGAGGTAACCACCTGATTCTGGCGCCTTAGACCGCTCGGCCATATTGCCATGTACCAAGGCAGCAACTAATTTATTAATACCAAATACAGAAGTCCTACAGCTGCCAGTGACTGCAGGATCCAACTGAACGTTGCCTTTCATTACAATGACCACTCCTCAATGCCATAATCTCTTCCTCTAATAAAGTAACTCTATTACAAGATACTCAAAGTTCTTCCACCGACTCTCTCGGGCGACATCTGAGCACGGGCCCACAGTGAACTACTCACATTAAGCTCGCATTGCCAGCCTCCCGGTTCCTCGTCTCGTACCTTTGAATAGAACGTCACCGAGCTGGTGAGTTGTTCCTCTATTTACGAACTATACACCAGCCTCAGCCACTAACTCCGACTCCTCAAGCTGGACCGAGGACGAATACATATGACTTCGTGGGATTCATGTGTGGTGGGCCTCGGGCCTCTAGATTTGGTAGGTTATGGGCTCGCACTGACTTCACTGCACAATTCATCAGATGATTCTTGTTTTCCTTGGACCATCCGCTGCTGTGTGCGATGATCCAGCAAGCGTAGGACGTACGCGCTCTATTTCTGAGATCTATTGCATTGAGCGTATCACCCCTTGTTTATGCTGCTATGGAGGTGCGTTAGGTCATGTTTCATCCGGAGACTTCGTGACTCTGCTCATATGCGCAGGTCCACTTTGCGCTCGATTTTCAGCCGGACTTTGCTGCCCGGGATAAGAAGAAAAGCGGGAGATGGCCACTCCGTACTATCTTCTCAACTGCATCGAGCGCGACACGAACGTCCACTTTGGTAACCTTGACGGTGACAGTGATACCTCGCAAGTCATCCCGTTCCCCGAACTGCCCAGGCAGAGCGCCCCGGAGCGTGAGCAGGGTGCTCTCTATACTTTTAATTGCAGCAAGCAACAGCATGGCAATATGGCCGAGCGGTCTAAGGCGCCAGAATCAGGTGGTTACCTCACTAATCTGGTCGGAAAGGGCGTGGGTTCGAATCCCACTGTTGTCATTCTTTTTCTTTCCCGTTGTTGCTCACTTCAGGGCAGGCCCGCACGCGTCCAGAGACGCGTCTCAGACGATAGTCGGTCTCAGACTATTCAAGACGCGACGTGCCACTCACTGCCTACCTCGGTCTGCTCCTCTCGCCTGCTCGCTCAGCCATGTCTCTGCCAACTGAACGACTGACGATCTCACACGCAAATGCGCTTCCTTCTGTGACCCCCAACCTCATGCCATTCCACATCGCGTATTCAGGCCCTGCCCCCATATCTACCTACTTCCGAGTCAAACCATCCTCGTCGCCTACTTATGGACGGGACGTTCGATCACCACAGCCTCTTTCGGCTTCCGGCTCCCAGCAGTTGCAGGACTCGCAGGCAACACTCGTCGGATCCGTGGAAGAGTCCTCTTCTTCCACAACCACCCTCAGCCGTGCGTCCACGACCGTAGGAGCAGACACACCTACCGAGCAAGGCACAGTGGATGCTGTCTGTGACGACTCGCGCCATTATGTGGCTTCGTTCAGAGGGCGGGAGATGCACGGGATGGCGGTGGACCTTCCAGAGGGGTACACTGGGATCGTCCTGCGCGCGCCGGATGGCGGAAAGGGGAAAGGAGTGGCTTCTGGAAACAGGACGAGGGAGGAGGAGAAGCCAGCACCCAAGGGAAGAACAACGCGAAGGTCTAAACGCGCTCAGGAGGAGATCAAGGTGGAAGACGAGGAGATGGACGCGTCCTCGGTCCCAGAACCCGGGTCTGACGAGGGCCCGACACGCGTCCTTGAACCTGTCTCGACGTTCTCAACGTTCGTCCTGTGGAACCCCGACATACCCCCGAACGAGGGACGCGATGAATACGTTCGCTCTCTCACGGAGTGGACGAGACTAGCAGCAGAAGTGAGTATCTGCGCTGTCCTGTTCGGTTTGCAGAAGGAACTCCATGTCCCATTACTGTCGCGCAAATCACGAATGCGCCTGTACAGTGTCGTGAAATGACACCGGGTTAGGCCAGGTACGGACGTACATGATATGACGACCAATATTACTTTTCTTACCTTGCTTCACGTTGTGTCACACTCCGTGCTGATATGCATTTTCCAGATCCATCGTATGGAGGATTGTTAGTCGTGTATGTGCATTGATACCCCTCCTTGCCCACTCCATGGGTCGTGCACATGCACTCGTATATCACGTCGCCGCAGACCTGGACCGCTTCACAGCCGGTCCAAGGTGCACCTCCCGAGTTCTTGTGTTCAGCGTCAACGCCCGTCTTCTACGGACAAGCTATCTTTTCGGCTAGTTCACAAGCTTGAGGCCACTGCGGATGAAGTGATTGGGCTGCTGGTGGTGGTCAAGAATCGCGGTGGTGGGCAATGTAATGATGTATTGTATGTAAGTCTGTGGATGTCATGAACTCATCTAGGAAGAGTGGGCGCACAGATCGCCCCCAGGTCACGACGAGCCGCCAAGATTCATCCTTCTCTGGATCATCGCCCTCGCGGCCTCTCCAGGATCGCACTTCGTCAGTTTATCGTAGTCGTACCACACCAGTACCGAATCAGACTCTGTCACAATCCGGCGCTGGGCATACGACCATATTGCGCCCATGACATGGAAGTGCGTCTTGGCCTGACGGTGAGATGTAGATGCATCCGTGCAAACTCGCAAGGCAGGCCCGCGGTGTGGCTTGTGCGCAACGAGCAGGGTGTCGGGGTAGACAACGGGGCGTTTGAAGTCCACGGAAAGGGACTTTAGGATGAGCGAGACGCCTTTGCCCTTGATCATCGCATCGGCCTTCTCTGGTCCTCCAAGCTCGTGTCCAAGTGCGCGCATCCAGTGGATACGTCCAGACTCGAAGAAGCGGACGTACCGCACGTTGTTGACGTGCCTGACGCGCCGAGGGCGTGTATGATTAGGGGAGGGACGCGCGTGCTGCGACGAGGGAGGTACGCACTGGAACGAGTCATGGTCTCCCCACACTATCTGCTGCTCCCAGAAGCTGTCGGGATCGTAGCCTAGCTCCAGCAGCTTGGCGCGACCTTCGTCGGCTGGTGAGACTTCCTCCGCGGGTGGGTCAGGGGAGTCCGGCCCAACGGTGCCCGGCGGCAGATGGAATGGGGACGTCGGGTCTCTAAACCGGTCGCGAAGAGCCTGTTCACACCAGATGGGGGATTGAGTTGGCTGTGAGCGAATACGCGATGGGAGGTGCATACTTACCTCTATCGACACCGATGAATACACACCGCGCGCGGCGTCGCGGCGCACAGCGCATGCAGCAGCGGCGAGTACCCCGCGACTCCCCGGTCGAAGAAGTACGTTCATAGTCTCTCTATTGTGTGCGTGTAGTCGTCGAGGTGAGAGGAGGTGTTGGTGAAGCGGAGAGCGTATACCCGAGTACCCGGGTGACCGTGTCGGTCGGACATGGTGGCCGGAAGCAGGCCCGGCGGCGGGACGTCGCGCGCGAGCGCGCCGGCCGCTACTGTACCTGACCACAACTTGGCCTTGCTCTTGTTCACTCCGCGCGCAACCAGGTCTTGAAACGCTTTTCGTCATCCTCGTCGCCCACGAATACAATTGTGTGTTTGCATCCAGTGCCGAGGACTTCTGGAAGTAGCTCGAACCCGTCGCAACCACTGCCATGAGGCCTTCCCAATCCATGCAAGTCCTCTTGTACCTCGATTCGTCGGTGTTTTGCTAAACGGACCAGGGCACGATGTCCAGTACAGTCAACATTTTTGTCGTCTCTCCAGACACGCGATCGGAGCGACGGTATGATCTCAGTCTAACAGTCGGTCAGCTCAAGGTGCGGCCTTCCAGTACTCTACCCTCTCAGGACGCGTTGTCTCACTACGGTTCCATCGCCTACAGAACAAGCTCGAGTTGATCACTGGCATACCTCCTCAAAATCAATCAATATCTGTGTATGCTTCGGACGACGCGCCCGAGCCCGTGGTTACGCTCAGCGATGATAATCGGCAACTGGGGTTTTACGGAGTGCGGGATTGGCAGGTCCTTAAGGTGCGTTTCTCCCCTATCATTGCTGGTTGTACGTCGTGTGTGACGCGTCTTCATAGGTCACAGACCTGGACCCCTCCGCGTCCTTCACGGGCCAACTCACGGATACATCCCAAGTGGACAAGTTTGAGTTGAGCGAGAACGAGTATGCTCAGCGACACGGTGAGTAGCGTCGTACCTGCCGTGCACCAATCATATGTTCAAAAAGCCAAAGACACGGTGCTTGCGTACAAGCAACGGAACAAGATTGGCCGATTTGCGGACAAGCCTGCTGAGGAGCATGTGGAAGCCGAGCATGTGGACATCCCAGTAGGGGCAAGATGCGAAGTGGAGTCCACTGAAGAGGACTTCCGCAAGCGTGGCACCGTACGTTTTGTTGGTCCCACGGAGTTCGCAAAGGGCACTTGGGTCGGAATAGAGTACGACGAACCCATAGGGAAGAACGACGGCTCGTGAGTAATGCGCACGGACTGAGCGCAGCCGTGACTGACCTGCTGCACAGGGTGAAGGGCAAGCGGTACTTTGAGTGCAAGCCCAACTTTGGCGTCTTCGTCAAGCCTGACCGTGTTAAGGTCGGCGACTTTCCCGTGGAAGATATCAACTTCGATGATGACGAGGAGATATAACACGTAAGCCTGGTTCGCATTTGATCCCGTCACTGCCATGCCTTACTCTTCGTCAGGATCCCTCAGTGGAACGATACCTGTATCATAGATATATCACTTGCTTTCTATCCACCATGGCCATCTGGTCTTGCTAATACCGTTGCCTTGCGTTCAAAGGTGATGACTCCCATCATCGTTGGGTCAGACTGATGCAGGCACATCTTCACCACAAGCATAACCACACAACTCTCTACCCCACATGGTGAACCGCTGAACTTTCGCAGTCAGTGACCCAGGTCCGCGTAGCCCAACGCCTCTTTGCGTGGGTCTCTTGGGGTGAATTCTCTCGTTGATACATCCATGATTGTCCTATTTGTGTCGACCATGCAAGCAGAATTCGCTGTGGCCCGT